CCTGGGTGTGGGGTCTGCGGGGCCCCTGGTGTGGGAGCTGAGGAGGGGGACTGGTGTGGGGTCTCGGGGGTCCCTGGTGTGGGGAGTTGTGGGGGGCCCCTTGGTGTACGGGAGCTGTAGGGAGATTCCTGGTGGGGGTCTGCGGGGGTCCTCGGGTGGGGAGCTAGGGGGGGTCCCTGGTGTGGGGCTGTGGGGGTCCCCTCTGGTTAGGAGCTGTGGGGGCCCTGATGTGGGGAGCTGAGGGGGCTGGTTATGGGGAGCGAGGGGGTCCTTGGTGTGGGGAGCTGTGAGGGGGGCCCCTGGTGTGGGGAGCTGAGGGGGCCCCTGGTGTGGGGAGCTGTGAGGGGGGCCCCTGGTGTGGGGAGCTGTGAGGGGGGCCCCTGGTGTGGGGAGCTGTGGGGGGGCCCCTGGTGTGGGGAGCTGAGGGGGGTCCCTGGTGTTGGGAGCTGAGGGGGGACCCTGGTGTGGGCAGCTGCGGGGGACCCTGGTGTGGGGACTGCAGCCAGTTGGGGGTGCACGGGGAGCTCACCCAAACACCAGGCAGACGGCTGTCCCCCAGCACTGCTGCTGCTGAGCCAGGCCCCAGGGTCCAAAGTCACCAGCATTGGGGGCTTCGGCCGCCACTCCTGAGCAGCGATGGTGAAGACGAAGGTGAAGGAGGAACGCCCAGGGCCGACAGCCTGAACTACGGCCCAGCAGAGCCCTGAGGCACCCGTTCAATGGGACCCTGTCACTCCCTGCCTCCGGAACAAAGAGCACTGTCAGAGGAGACCCCGTAAGCACTCCGGGCCTTCAAGAGCTGAGAGTCAGTCACTGCAACAGCTTCTGCCTCTCCGAGGCCCGGTCTGGCACGTTCTGACCCCTCCCTGCTGGGGAAGTTGCCCACCGGTCTGGGCACAGGCTCACGGGGCTGGGGCCGTGGCCGTGGCCCTCCCAGGCTGCGTGTGCAGAGGGGCTGACGCTCCAGCCCTGTGCTCCGGGAGCTCCTCGGACAAAGGCTGCAGAGTGCAAGGCGGACTTCATGTAAACAGAACACCTGGAAGTTTTGTTTATTTACGTTAACATGCAGCTTCTTGTGGGGGCACAAGTAGAAGCCGGGAGAGTCGGCTGCCGTGCCGTCCGGATGATTATGGCCTGGCATAGGCAGGGGGCGGGGGACAGTGCCAGAGGATGCAGGGTACGGCGGCTCCACCCATTCCCTGACAGGCAAGCTGTGGCTCAGGCTGCTCCACAGGAACCCTCCTGTCTTTGTTCCTTCGCTTCGTTTCCCTAAACCTCCCTGCATGCTCCATCCCAGGGGACGAGGGTGGGTGAGGCTGCACCCTAAGGTGGAGTGCCCGCCCTCACCAGGCTCACCAGGAGGATGAGGGCGCACGGGGTTGTGCCCTGAGGACTGGTCTCGGACACTGGGAACAGAGATCAGTTCTGGAAAGGAGCTGGGCAGAGCCAGGGCAGCCTCCGTGTTTGGTGTGGGGTGGTCTAGAGGTGACCACGAATGCAGGCTTGCCTCTCCGGGGTCTCCTGAGCACAGGCACAGAGGCGGGTGACAGCATCAGGAATCCAAGGGTCAGCCGGGGCAAAAGCAGCAGGAAGCACAAGGGCCGACCGGCCCTCAGGAGCAGGGGCATGTTACAGGGCGCACTGCGGCATTCCCTGTTCTTGCTAACCTTGCGTAACGATGCCCGATGCAGGGTTCCTAAGGTTCCGCAGTGATTTATTTCTATGCAAATGCATTTATGAAAGTTGTCATCAAAGGTCCTTCCTAATTAGATGGTTTCTTGTAAAAGACCTTAAGAAAACAACGACCAAGTACAGTATGCACTCAGCATCTACTTCATCCTCTCAGGACAAACCACACAATGTAATTCACGTAACCACTAACCAGCAACTGCAAATTGTAGGTCATGATTTCTAAAAAATGCAGCCACGCAATAACAACCTTTCTAAAGCTGACTTTGTTTCAGTGAAACAAAACTATGATGACATCCCTAAGTTTCCTGCAAAAGAGCTTCGACGTGGAGAAACGGCGTGGACACTCCACCTAACCACGCCATCGGGAGAAGAGGAGGCACCTGGGCCGGAAGTTTCTCTCCCGAGTGCACAACAGAGCACCAGCGAAGGCAGTGAGAAGAGTAGTGAGAAAAAGGTTTAAAATCATCGATGAAAATGCAAATCAAGGTTGTCTTATTACAATTAAGACAAACTGGGCATGTGCATTTTCTCCACATTCGTGTGTATCCCGAAGTATCCCAGCTGGTTTGAAGACACGCCACGAATTCCTGTGTATCCCAAAGAAGTATCCCAGCTCGTTTGAACACACGCCACGAAGAACTGCCAAAAGCAACTCCATTAATGAAGCCAGTCTGGGCTTGTTTTTCAGTATGGAAATGAAAACACATCTGAAAGTATCTCCTCCACTAAAATGTCAACACTCATTACAAAATTTCTTAGACATTTGTATGATCTATTCTAAATACCTGAGCAACTATCATTTCTAGTTGTGTAAAAATCGCCGAGTGAAAGACGTGGCACCTCACATAAGGACGGCTCAGTCCAGCCACGGTTTCCACCTCACGGGCCAGCACAGGGTCTGCCTCACCTTTCAGTCCACAGGACCACACAGCTGCAAGAGCAGGGACGCAAAGGGAGCCGTCGGGCAGCTAACGTGGCGGGGATGCCCCTTTCCTCTCCAGCCTCCGCGTGTGATATCTCACACCTCACAGCGAAGGGCCCTCCTGGAAACCCCAGACTCTGCACTTTCCTTGACATAAACTGTCCACAGAAGTCCATCCTGAAGGGCACTTTCCCTCCATTTTCCCGTATTCCCCACAAAGGAACCAGCCCAGAAAAGCCGTCTTTGACCACTCTTTGTTTCCACGTGACTGAAACCCCACAGCACCTGTGGCTGGGGTAGAAACCACCCTAATCCCTAGATCCCTGGATCCCCGTCCCGCCCGACACACAGACACCCCTGGACGTCTCTCCCAGGTAGTCCACGCCTGCAAACATCCAGAAACCGACTTCTGGAGCCTGTGGCACCGATTGCCATGGATATGCTAAGTCACACTCACACATATTTGTGGTTGCTACAGAGAAACATATTCAGACATATTTGTGGTTCCTAAACTTTGCAAACACGTGACCTTTTTAAGAATCTGGTGCAAGCGACAGAGCTCTCTCCTGCGCTCATGGAAAATGTGCCCCCACAGAAGGCCCTGCAGCCACGCTGGGGCCACTGAGCCCCAGGACCTGACACACACACCCCCAAAGGAGGCAACCGTGTGGGTCCCTCTGCACCCGAGAAGGTGGCCTGTGTCTCAGTCTGTCTCCTGCCCACGTCTGCACACGTGAGACGCAAACCTCCCTGCAGCCGGCTGCACCCCCAGCACCGCCCACCCCCAGGGCACCAGCCCTGCCCGGCTTAGCCCCTCCCCCTCAATGCTGTCCCCCCCACCCCCCCACACCCCCCCCATACACCCTCCGGTTCCCCCAGCACCCACGCCCTCCCCTTCAGGCGGCCCCAGCACACCAGTCCTGCCCTTGCCCCCTGCCCCGACCCCCCAACAACCTTCCCCCATCCTAAGCTCCCCTCGCCCAACAATTACAACTCAGGGAATAAGAATCCTCAGTTTCAAACTCAAGCCGGGAAAACAGCACCTGCTGCATGAAAAGGAGACACCGCAGCACCTTCAAGAGGAGGCAGGCGCGGGGCGGGCGGGCTAGTCCGGGAGATTCACGCGCGGGGCAGGCGCGGGGCGGGGGGGCTAGTCCGGGAGATTCACACGCGGGGCAGGTGGAAGGCGTGGGGGGGAGTCTGGGAGATTCACACGGGGGGCGTGGGGGGGAGTCCGGGAGATTCACGCATGGGGGGCTGGGAAGCGGAGAAGGCCGTACACGGTGCTAAATTTCTTATGAGCAGAAAGTAAGTGGCTAAATTCCGAGCACCCTAAATAAAGCCGACTAGAAGAAAATGACTCACGTTGGGCGAACGAAAGTCCTTCCCACTCTTGGAGACATTTTCCCCACGAGCGCATCTCATGAGCCATTTCTGTGGAACACACCCGGGGAAACGGTCACCAGCACCCGCTCTGTGGGGAGCCGCGCTCCCAGCGCCCCGTGGCACAGACCCTGCGGTGACCGGCCCGGCTGTGACCTGGCCGGGATGTGACCAGAGTTGTGTGGTGACCCAACCGCACACGTGCCCACGACACACAGCCCCGCGGGGGGAGGGCAGGGGCCTGTCCAGGGTGAGCACCAAACTGCCCGGGGGCAGACACCGCGGGCACTGGACGGTTATGGATCCCTCAGTGTTAAAACCCCACTTCTAAAACCTTGAGCGAGGTCTCTGAGGTCCGAGTCACCTTCCCTGAAGCCGGCAGGAGCCTCGGGTGGCTGGGACACCAGCTCCAGGGATCCCCGGGCCATGTGCCCCACCGTCTGCAGTGGGGCTCGGTGCTTCCTTCCGCTGGGCAGAGGAGCCCACGGGGCACTGCTGGGCTCAGGAGGGGCCCGAGGACGCCTGGCCTTGGAGGGGCAACCGAGAAGCCGTTCTAAAGATAAAAACCATCATGCGAGGTTGTCTAAACAAGAGAAAAGTCTAACTGCGAACGCGGTAGAGCGCTCAGCCCGTGTTTTCATGTTTAAGGTGCTCAGCTTCTAAAATGCTGATTAAAAACAAACAACACAACCACCTTTGCACCCTGTAAAAATAACAGGAGAAAAAATCAGGGGCGTGTTTTTCTCCCGAGGAAAACACCCTCGAGGGCTCAGAGACGTGCCGGCCGCAGATCCCACTCCGTGACTTGGCAGTCGCACCAGAGCCTGATTCTTTCCACCCCTAGGACAACTCTTTATTTAAAGAACCACAGTGCGAACTTCATTAAAGGTAGTAACGACACTAAGGAGGCCAGTACTTACGCTCGACGGGTGCTGAACCGCAGCCTGGTGTTGCAGCCTCACCCGCTGGGGCATCATGACGTCATCCTGCAGTAAAGAACACACTTTCCGTTTGTTTGTTTGCACTGACTGATGGATGGGCTGCTACAGTCCCGCCTTATTGCCCAGGCTGGAGCGTGGTGGCACCATCACGGCTCGCTGCAGCCTCAAACTCCCGGCCTCAACTGAGCCTCTCGCCTCAGCCTCCAAACAGTTGGGATTACCGGCTTGAGCCACCACACCCAGCCCCAAGAACATATTTTAAACTCATGTAAAGCAGTTCCTACTGGCAAGTAAGAAAACGATAGACAATCCAACAGCAAAACAGGCAAGGCCCTTGAACCGGCCATCAAGCAAGATTTCCAGTGGACCAAAAACCTCATCAGCCATCAGAGAAACGCAATTAGTTATGCAATGGAGAGAGAAAAATAACAAACGCTGACAATTCCAAGTGTACTTTATTAGGCAGAACGAGAGCTCCTATGGACTGCTGGCTGCGGCGAGGACCTGTCACCACTGCTGAGGGGACCGTCTGCGGCGAGGAGCTGGGGACCCTCTGTGGTGAGAACTGCCACCGCTGCTGAGGGGACCGTCTGGCATCTCCCAGCAAAGCAGAAGACAAGCTTCCCTAAGACCCTGACGTCTGACTACTTGCGTAGGAAAAGCCCCACTCACACGCACAGACGTGCTGACGGCAGCTCGTTCACATGTGGAAAGAACCCAATGGCGAGAATCGCAGATAAATGAATTGTGCACGTTAGTTTTAAACGCCATTCAGCAGCTGAACACACCACGAATTTCACAAGCCTAATGTTCAGTGACAGAAGCAAGACACAAGAATATACGTGGTATTTTCCACTTATTTAAATTCAAAACCCAGCCAAATAAACCATATTATTTAAGAAATGCACACACAGTGTGTACCAGGGGTCCCAACCCCCGGGCAGTGGGCTGGTACCGGGCCATGGACCAGGCCACACAGCAGGAGTGAGCGGCGGCTGGGCGAGTGTCACCAACAGAGCTCATCATCCTGTCAGAGCAGCGGCTGCCTTAGACCCTCATAGCAGCTCAGACTCCACTGGGACCTGCGCACGCGAGGAATCCAGGTTGCAGGAGTGAGCGGTGGCTGGACGAGCATCGCGGCCTGAGCTGCCCTCCTGTCAGAGCAGTGGCTGCATTAGACCTTCACAGGAGCTCAGACTCCACTGGGAACTGTGCACACGAGGAATCCAGGTCACAGATTCCTTATGAGAATCTAACTAACGCCGAGGCCTGAGGTGGAACCGCTTCATCCCAAAACCATGCCCCCACCATGGGTCTGTGAAAACATTGTCTTCCACAAAACCTGTCCCTGGTGCCGAAAAGGCTGGGGACCACGGATATAAACCATAAAAGCAGCAACATTATAACCCTGAAGATCAGAAGAGCGGTCACTTTTTGAGGGGAAGTCGAGGTGGGGGCGTGGACGGGACAGTCCCCCTAAGGTGCCCGCAATAAGCATTTATTGATCGAGTGGTAGCTACACAAATATCTGCTTCATAATTAACTTGTAAAGTGGATATTTATGTTTTGTGCATTTTTCTGTGGGTATATTCTATCTCATGATAAAAAAAATTTTAAGTGAAAGAACAGCAAAGGTTAAGTATATCATTTAAAGGCACAAATACACTCAACAGAAGAAATAAGAATAATGTCATTGGAAGGACATTTGTTTTTAAGCTGAACACTAAGATGAACTAAAAGACCCATATTTATGTCTCTTATTCCAGAAAAACCACCTTAGAACATTCAGATCATCCAAGAAACCTGAGGGACGTTGCAAGGAACCTAATGGGGCTGAGGAGAGGAGGCTTGGGACGGAGGGGAAGTGGGAGGAGGGCGGAGAGAAGAGAATAAAGGAGGGTGGAGAGTGGAGGAGGGAGGAGGGAAGAGAACAGAAGAGGAGGGTGGAGAGTGGAGGAGGGAGGAGGGAAGATGACAGAAGAGGAGGGGGAGGAGGAACGGAAGGAGGAGGGAGGAGGGAAGACGACAGAAGAGGGAGGTGGAGAAGGGAGGAGGGAGAAGGGAGGAGGGAGGAGAGATAGAGGGAGGAGGGAAGAGGATAGAAGAGGAGGGGGAGGAGGGAGGTGGAGGGTGGAGGGAAGTGGGGATTGGGGAGAGAGAATAGAGGAGGGAGGGTGGAGGAGAGAGGAGAAGGGAGGAGGATGAAGGTAGACAAGGGAGGAGGGAGGAAAGAGGAGGACGAGGGGGAGGGCTAAAAACCTGCGTATGACCCTGACAGGTATTTCAAAAAGAAGAGCTGAGGAGGCTCCAAGGAACTGCAGGCACCACCTAAGGGGCACGTCTCTGCCCACCTTCAAACACAGGGGAGCCTCAAACCTTCTGACCCCTGGTCCAGACACCTAATCACCCATGCCCCAAGCCCAGGCTGAAATGTCCTGTGGGAAGGTCTCTTGCACCTTCTAGAACCAGGGCCAGACCAGTTCCTCTATGTAGTTGGCCCCCAAAAATATTTGTAAGACACGGAGGTCATTATGTTCAGTGAAACATCCAGACACAGACAAACAAATGCCGGCGTTCCCACCCACGCACAGGAGCTAAGGAGACAATCTCACGGAGGTAGAAGGACGGCGCTCACCAGAGGCCGGGAAGGGCAGCGGCAGGAGGATGAAGGGGGTTGGTTAACGGACACAAAACTACAGTCAGGTAAAAGGAGTAGTTCTAGTGTTCGACAGCACAATAGGGTGGCTATAGTTAACCATAAGTTATTTTATATTTCACAACAGCTAGAAGACTTTTATGGCCAGGTGCAGTGGCTCACGCCTGTAATCCCAGCACTTTGGGAGGCCGAGGCAGGAGGATCACTTGAGGTCAGGAGTTCGAGACTAGACTGGCCAACATGGTAAAACTCCGTCTCTACTAAAAAAAAAAAATTCGCCAGGTATGGTGCTGCACGCCTGTAGTCCCAGCTACTCAGGAGGCCGAGGCACAAGAATCACTTGAACCTGGAGGTGGAGGCTGCAGTGAGCTGAGATCGCATCACTGCACTCCAGCCTGGGTGACAGAGACTCCATCTCAAAAAACAAAACAAAATAGCTAGAAGATCTGGAATGTTCTCAACACAAATGATGAATGTTTGAGGTGATGGATGGTCCAGTTACCCTGACTTGATCATGACACATGGCGTGCCCGTCCCGGGTACCACGCGTGCCCCGCGAACATGGCGTGCCCGTCCCGGGTACCACGCGTGCCCCGCGAACATGGCGTGCCCATCCCGGGTACCACGCGTGCCCCGCGAACATGGCGTGCCCGTCCCGGGTACCACGCGTGCCCCGCGAACATGGCGTGCCGGTACCAGGTACCACGCGTGCCCCGCGAACATGGCGTGCCCGTCCCGGGTACCACGCATGCCCCGCGAACATGGCGTGCCCGTCCCGGGTACCACGCGTGCCCCACGAACATGGCGTGCCCGTCCCGGGTACCATGCGTGCGTGCTCCATGAACATGTACAACGATCCCTAAAAATTTCAAAAATATATTTGTAGAACAAATGAATGGGTCTTTAATGCGCCTCAGCATTTACAAAACACTCATGTACACATTTTATTGATATTTATCACACTCTTCTATGGTTGGAGACAGAACAGCTAATGTCTCTATTTTGTAGCCAAGAAAATGGAGGTTTGGAAAGGGTATGTAACTCACCCAAAGTCTCGTAGCAATTACACATCAGGGTTAAAACTGGACAGAGGCCAGGCACGGTGGCTCAAGCCTGTAATCCCGGCACTTTGGGAGGCCGAGACGGGCGAATCACGAGGCCAGGAGATCGAGACCATCCTGGCTAACATGGTGAAACCCCGTCTCTACTAAAAAATACAAAAAACTAGCCAGGCGAGGTGGCAGGCGCCTGTAGTCCCAGCTACTCGGGAAGCTGAGGCAGGAGAATGGCGTAAACCCGGGAGGCGGAGCTTGCAGTGAGCTGAGATCGCGCCACTGCACTCCAGCCTGGGCGACAGAGCGAGACTCCGTCTCAAAAAAAAAAAAAAAAAAAAACAAAAACTGGACAGAGTGCCTCATCCAACATCACGGTTTTCCATAGGACTTTGCTTCTGACCAAGGAACTCACTTAACAGCCAAAGAAGGGCCGCAACGGGCCGGGCTCCCGGAGTCACTTACCTCACACGTCCCTACCGTCCTGAAGCCATGGGTCGGATAGAGGTGGGGCGGCCTCTGGAGGTCCAGCTACGGCACCATTCAGCGGTGACGCTGGCGGGGCCAGGGCGAGGCTCTCCAGAGGCTGCGTTGGCTCCAAATGAGCCTCCGGGACCTGGAGCTGTTTCTCCCCAGCCAGGGCTCACGGGGCCAGGCATCGAGGGACGGACGTGGGAGTGGCACTCACCGTCACCCCAGTGATGCACTAGGGGAGCTCCTCTTCCTGTTCCCTGACGTACGGTCCACAGGCCCAGAGGCCTGAGTCCCAGGGAGTCCCAGGGAGGCCTGAGTCCCAGGGAGGAACACGGCCACCAGGAGACACACGACGACGCCGCGGGATAGAAGCTGAGACCGCCCCTGGCCCCTCTGGGCTCCTCATGCCTCTGAGTCTACACCTGGAAAGGGATTCTCTGTGCTGGCCTGGGGATTGATCCTGACCTCCCAGGGGGAATTGGCCTACGTCGCCACAACAGAGGCAGGACAGCGTCTGCGATGCAGGAGAACCCTTGGGCATCAAATTACTCCACAGAGAATGATTCGAATAAAGTGGCCAGTATGCAAAGACAGCCAGGCATGTAAGTAAAAATAGACAAAATACCAGACAACAAAAGACTTGATATGTTCAAATTATCACACACAAAATATTTTTAAAATCTATGCAAATTGTATTTAAAAAACTAAAAGATACAAGACATGAGCCAGTCATAAAAGGCCCAATATTGTCACAGGAGGTCCCTGCGCACAGCCAAAGTCATGGAGACTGGACGGAGACGGGTGGGAGCCAGAGGCTGGGGCGGGCTGGGCTGTTTTATGGGGACGGAGCTTCAGTTCGGGAA